GTCAAATTTGACTGAACGCAAACTTTTAACTAATAAGTGCGGCCATTTCGATTGATAGTTCTTAACAATTTCTGTAGAATGTAATGTCCTGTATTAATCGATTATTATTATGTTTGGTGTATAAATAGGTAGAATTAGTTGTTTATAATTGTAATGATTTGGGCTAAAAATTTGATGTACCTAAATGGAGTAAATTGTAGAAAACACTGCAGTCTAAGGGCTGATTTCACCAACACAGTTAATCATGGTTAAACTGCGATTACGCTTAATCGCCTGATAACAGATATTTAACCGGCAAATTCGGCCGATTAAACTTTGGTTAACTTTAATCATTATTAACTGTGTTGGTGAAATCGGACCTAAAGTCCATATTATATTATAACGTATATTTGACTGGTTTTCAATACATGTTCCCGATATCTTTTTAATTCTTTCCAGGGTGTGAAATTGTACAAGTTTTGTATAATGATACATATTTTAGTTATATAATTATCATTTATCAATAAATAATATAAAATACATTTTTGTTACCTATTGAAGTATATTGAAAAATAAGAATTTATGGTTATATATCATCGAGAGGTGGTTTAGTATAATAATCTGTGTCTTCTGAGTCTTCTGTATTCAAGAGTCTTCTGAGAATTTAATGTACTTATATTATTTTATTATTTTATTATATATTTATATTACTTATTTTATATGACACCTCCTACTGATTGTTATTTGTTTATTTTAATACTATAACTTCAAAAATATTATGCTTTATCATTAATAAATTACTAAAATATTAAATAACCGATAGGTATTATAAAAAAAGTTATTGAATCTGTATAATTTTACATATGCAAGACTTGATAGGTACTTTATAATTTTTGGTTTCAAGTTCGAGCAATACTTTTGAAATTGTGATTCATTTATACATAGGTTGACCAGATGTAAGAGGTAAAAATAAATATTTTGTTCAATAAATTTGTTTGTTTATTCATCTTATATAAACTCAAAAACAACTGGTCTGTTTTCAATAAAAATTCCTTCAGACTTGGGGAGGGTTTTTATTTTCCAACTAATATAGTTCGCTAAAGGGTGGCAGGGTGGATCACACGTCATGTATTTTATTTAGGTTCATGAAAATCTAATATTGGTTGCCATTGGTTACAGATAATACAGTTGTTATTATGATTCTATGTAATTTCCTGTATTGTATTAAATTTTGTAATTAGGTAATTCAGGTTAATAGCATAGGCTAAGAAAAATGTCATGGTAGATAACGTATGGAGTAAAAAAACCCTAAATATTTGTTTGGTAATTGTTGTTTATTCAATTTACATGTATAATCAGTTCCGCGATAGCCGGTAGATTGAGTGTGTTAAACACACAGGTCCAGGCTCATGTCCATAGTGGGGCCCAACAATACAAATTTAAAAATATGTAGGAAGAAAAAAAAAATAATACCATTTAGTTATTTATTTATTCAAATTAAATATAGGACGAGCCCAATTACATTGTTTTGCATTGAAAAATAACTAATAAGTTATAATAATTATTAATTATTAATGAAGATGGAACAATTGATCGATTTTGGTTTGTACATTTTATCGTATACATCAACTTTTCTTTTGCGGCCCGTTTAACCTAAATTAAAAATAGTTTGTTTGCAATGGTTTGCAATTTTTTGTTTGTGCAATGATGTGCAACAATGGGTGTATTTAGGTTCATAAGCGTGTGCACAAGGGGGGGGGGGTCATTGAGAGACCTACCGAAATTTGTATACATAGTAATACATGATCCAAACATTACAATTTTTTATTTTTTAAATCATAAAACATTAAATAGGTAAGTGAAAAATAACATTGATATTTGATACTCAATGATAATAAATAATAAAAATAAAATTGATAACCAGATAACATATTATCATTACAGATTGCAAAATTGTATTTATTTAAAATTTAAAACTGTGTAGAATATTAAAATATTTCTTATTTAATTTTTAAAAAATATGTATCTGTTTTTTATCATATGATTGAATTATGCCTTAAATAGTGGATGATTATGAGTAGGTAAATTAAAGTATGAAACGTTTTAATTGTTTCTTCCATCTGAGTTCAGGTTTCTTAATCTTTATTGACTTAGCCCACCCTGCCGCAAATGTCTGTGCACGCCTATGTTTAGGTTAGGTTTTAGTATAGGAACAGGGGCTTAAACATAAATAATATTTCTCACCAAAACTGATATACCTGCTTTCATTGATACTGATGATGAATTTACCTGTGGTGTACCTAATATATTATAATAGGAATAAAAACTTTTTTCATTAATTTTGTGTTTCAGAATAAGCTTTAAAATAAATGCACGTCAAAAAATATTCTAAACATTATTTACACAACAATAAGCAAGACATTTAAAAATAGACTATAAAACTTTAGAATGTCATATAATGTAACATTTGCATTAAAATTGTAATTTATGAGCTATAACAGTATAACTAATAGCTAATAAAAAAAAATTGGCATTCTAATTTTAATTTTTGAGACTAGCAATTTCATTGAGAGTCTGATTTTCAGTTATCTTTTGTAAACCATCAGAATCAATATTCAAAGACAAATTATCCAATATGATTTTGATCCATCAACAATCTAAATGCCCATTTTTTTATTCTCCAAAACAAAAAATGTTCAAAAGTAGCTGTTGTTTCACAAATACAGTAAGAATTAAATGTATTTGATAGTACTTCACAACTTGTAAATTATATGATCATTAACCCTAGAGCACACGCTTCACGGTCAAAACGACGAGGCATTTAGAATTTTGTTTATTGTTTCAAAAATACGAAATATTAACCTAATCCAACCTAGGTACCTTCTAATTAGGTAAATATTAACTAAAATTAGATTCTCTTCCCAAGCCCCCACTGTAAATTATCTGATTTCATTAATATAGAAGTGTTCAAAGTTTATTACGAGACATCACCTATTAATAAATTAAAAGACTGTGCGTGAACGTAAAAAATCAATTATGGGTTATTTTAAAATATTGTGTTTTTAATAATTGCTTCTCGATAAACAAAATTGATAGTTATGATATTTTCATTGTGACTGGTGATATTATTGGTAGGTGACTATGATTTTTGCCATACTGTGTGTAATTAAAAATACTGTATGCATTCTCGTGAATATTTTAAATGCGTGTGATCTATGGTTAAGATCCTATTTACCTTTGTTAATATAATATATAATTTCTTAACAGTCACTCCTGCTTTTATTAAGTTTGAATACATTTTAAGGAACTTTTGACAAACTTTTAGACAAACGGGGAATTGTATTAATATTTAATTGGAAAAAAGTTATCTAATGCATTAGTTATATATTAGCTCTCAATTCAAAACTATTATTTAATTCAAAAATTATATTATTAAGAACATAATAACATGAGTGGCTTTAATACTTCTCTGGTGCTAATGAACGTGTTCTTGAAAACGCCTTGAACAATAAGGTTTACAACAAAATTATTTTTAGGATATTTAAAATTCTCACATCATCTTCATGATTAAAGTCATTAGTTAGTCACCTACCTTCTCAAATTTCTGTACCTAGATCTTCTAGCATTGGATTCTAGTACTGTTTTATAAAATCATAATTTTCAAAACTATAAGCCCCAACATGTGTCAATTATTTACATTATTCTCTTGGTTTAATTCTTTTTTAATATTTATTAATCTATTACGAGATGTTTGCTTAAACAATGAACATATATAATTATTCTAGTGTATTAACAAATAAAACGACTTCTAATATTTTCACTCATATTAATTATAATTAAATTTAACTTAGATATATGTGCAAACAGTAAAAATAAATTATTCTGCTTTTAACTTCTCTGACCCTAACCAACACATGTGACTGTTCAAATTATAGGGAGCTTTATCAATATTTGGTTTTTCAAATTGTCAAGTTTAATATTTTAATTACATCAGTGGAAGTTCTATGGTTCTTGACCCACTTGTGATACCATACGGAACAAAAATAATATACCAGCAGCATCTTATCGTAGAACAAAAACCAAACACTGTTCTTGTAATTCTTAATTTTTAGTTTACCTTATACATATTGTAAGTTGTTCTTTTCTATATGACAAAATATTTAATCATTCCATAAATTACTCATGACACACACTATCAATAATATATCTATGTTAATGCATATTATTGCGCTTTGTGATTGTGATATAAAATAAAATTGTTGAACAGGTGAGGAGGGGGACTAGATCTTACTATCTGGGTGCCTTAGCACCCTTTATACACAAACAGTGATGATTGAAGTTTGTCTACTTTTTATATTAAGTGATATTTATGTTATAATTCAGTTTTAGAAATCAGGCTCAGCCTTAAGATTTAGAGGAGATGTTGTGTTGTGTTATTTTTATTTTTTGTTTCTTTTTAGTTAATTATTATTTAAGCTACATATCTTTAAATGTATTACTTCTTTAAATATATATATACATTTTATTTTCAATATTTAACCTGTATAAACTAAACTTTTCTATTATTTGCTTACTTGTTAATTAAATATTTGCCAGAGTTAATTATATTGAAGTTGAATCTCATTTTATCATTTACAAACATTTCTTAATTTTATAAACATTTAATGACTGGATGTAAAAACTAAGAACATATTCCAGTATTGTAGAAAAAAATACATGTCATAAAGTACTTAATCAGAGGCATAATTTACTGATCCTTAGAAATTTTTAGTTTTATTAAATTTAACTATCAAATCAAGAATAATTTACTATTCATTAAAATATAAATAATAAAATTAGTTATGCTAGATTTCATTGATATATGAATTACATCTACTAATGTATTTTTACTCAAATTTATATTTTTACACACAAAATTCAATTCCAGTTATTTTAAGTTTTTATCAATTATAAAATATAAATACAATTTAAATAAATGTACATGTTTTTAGATATTTTAATTGCCAACTCACGGAAATGCCATGTCGGAAGTTGTGACTGATTTAAAACTTTTATCAGGTAATATAGTACAATTTTATATTTTTACTTGTAACTTATTTTTCATATTATATTTTTTTTAGGTGATAACCGACTGAGACAGTTGGAAGCATTATTTTTAGGAGGTCCAATACAAGGACAAGGAAAATGTTTCAGTATTGAAACCCTTTTAGATGTTTTGCTTGTACTGTATGATGAATGTAATAATTCATCCTTACGCAGAGAAAAGACTGTATCTGATTTTATAGAATTTGGTATGTACTAGTATTAAGTATTTTTCGCGGGTAATGAGTGATAAAGTGTTCCCTGTTTCTGTAGGTATAATAAAAATACATTTTTATATTTAATTAAAAAATAATGTACTTGTTTGTTTTGAAGCAACTAAATTTAACATTGCACATCTACATTAAAGTTAGCTTCAATAGTTAATAAAATAATCTCTAATTTCATAATACAAACGTAAAACAGGAATCTGTAAATACATTTGTCCAACAATTTTCATAATGTGGATAGCTGACATTTTACTGTACAATTTTTGTCATGTACCTATTATAAATTCATTCTTATTTATTTATTATTAACATAACATGATTTTGAAGTGCTAGATGGTGCTTTCCCCATGTCTTTAAGTTTTTTCTTAATGTATTGAATAAATAAATATCATCACTTATGTTTATTGTACCACATATTATTATGTAAAAATTGTATATATAAAAAAAAAAAATATTGAATCATATTTTGTTCTATTATAGTAATCATTTTTAAATGTTTATTTTACTTATAATTTTAGTAAAACCTGTGGCATTATGTGTTAAGTCATTGCGTTTGACTAGAGATGATTTTGAGACCATCAAAGTAATCGGCCGTGGAGCTTTTGGAGAAGTGTGCGTTGTGCATATGAAAGGAACAGATAAAGTTTACGCTATGAAAATTCTTAATAAATGGGAGATGCTTAAAAGAGCTGAAACAGCATGTTTTCAAGTAAATTAATAATTTTAATAATAATTTATTATAATGTTAAATTATTATTAACAGATAAACCTAATTATATAAAAATTTCTGTATTATATGTGTTTTCAGGAAGAAAGAGATGTTTTGGTATATGGTGATCGTAGATGGATAACCAACTTACATTATGCTTTTCAAGACGAAACAAACTTGGTAATTTTTTATATAGTAATAAGTAAAAAAAAAAAATTATATATACTAGTTATAAGCATGTTATATTGTTTATAACTTGATTAGTATATCAATATCAATATATTATATATATAAGTTTATATATATAAGTTTTAAAAATCTAAGACTGAAAATAAGGTATTTTTAAAAGGATGTTTGGCCACTATTTAATTTCATCCTCCAATTCTTGTATTGTACTACACACCTAATTTGTGTTCAGTAGAACCAATGTTGTGATAATATTTTCTCTTTAAGTGAATTTACCTTGTATCTCAAACTTAACTATGTAATATATTAGTCTTAAAATGCTTATAACTCACTTAAAAATTAAAATATCAATAAAATCTTATGTAATGCCCTTGATATTATAACCTCAAAATAAATAATAGCTTAATTATAATTCTTTTAATAGAAAACAACACAACATTACGATCTGATATACTCTAAGATAGGGGTTGAAAACCTATGGCATGCGTGCCTTTTGCAGCACATTTGATGTTATTGAATGGCACACTAAAATACCAAATAAAATATAATTTTTAGTATTTATGTAAATTTAAGTATTTCAAAAATTATGTTTTTAATATTAAATAAATCATAAAAGTCGCAAATATTGTATTACACAACCATTATTGTGTCAAAATAACATTAATAAGATTACCGTGTTAATTTTTTATGACAAATCCTACATTTTTTTTTATTTGACACAATATGGAAAAAGGTTGGGCACACTTAAAGACAATTTAAAATAAAAAAAAATTAAGATTCTCATAAATTACTAACCTAAATAGAAAAGTGGGATGAGCATGCCTAAAAAAATATTATATATTAATAGTAGTTCTTTGTTTGATTTTAAAACGTATTGATAAGTATTACAATATAATATTTAATAACTTACCATGCTATTAGTATTTTTATAAATATTATGGTTCATAAAAGGGCATTTTAAGTATTTTTATTTTGATAAGTTCACTTGTAAGTTAAAATTAATAACTTAAAATGTGTCATATGATTAATTTAAATCAAGTTTATTGTACAAAATTATTTCAGTATCTTGTCATGGATTATTATTGTGGAGGAGACTTATTGACTTTATTGAGCAAATTTTTTGATCGCCTTCCTGAAGATATGGCCAGATTTTATATTGCTGAAATGATATTAGCTATTAATTCAATTCATGATTTACATTATGTTCATAGGTGAGTCATAACATTTTTATTGAAATAAATTAAACAATTTAAGTAAAATTTCATGGATCATGCATGAAGATATAATGTACAACTCTGTCTCCTTGTTATTGAGACGCTTAGGTAATTATATGCCACCCACTGTTCTTAACAGAGTTGTCACTACATAGGTATAATCTGTATTGACATAGAATTGCGGTGTTGTGCTTAGATAAAAAATATTATCTAGATATAGATTTCTATTGTAGAAATTTATCTACTTCGCACATATTATAAACAAATTAAATGGTATTTTTAACACAACAAATATTTCCAAGACGCCAACATGTATATATTGAACAGTCTCAATATCAACAAACTTAAAAAAAAATTGTATTTTTTAACTGAAACAGTTGATTCTATTACTCAGATAAAAATAATTACTAAGGTCGTTCATTTTTTACTGAACACTTTTAAAAATGTATTTATTACCTAAAATCATAGAAACATGCTATTTAAACTTACACATATTGCATTGAAGTGTTATCGCTTATAACTTATTTTATATTGTGTATCAATTAATACTGTATATATGTTATAAAAAAAAAATGTATAAACATAATAATAATGAAAAAATCAAAACTCATGATCGTTTCCAACTAGTATAATTAGTATTTAGTAAACAGTGATTAAAAATTACCTTGGATTAAAAAATGGTCTTATTATGCCAAAAATACCCTAAAAATAAAAAATGCAACACATGCAAAGTTAAAATTAGTCATTCATATTTGTTAAAAAACATTTTGAAAGCATAATTTAAGATGTGGCAAAAATAAATTCATCAGTCATCAACATCAAAATCAATATTTTCAAATTAACCTAATTCTAAACAGATTACTCAAATAAATTGTGTTAGGCTAATAAAATAAACAATTATCTCAACAAAGAATTTTAATGTTAATGTATTTAATTTGCAGAGATATTAAACCTGATAATGTATTATTGGATGCTAATGGTCATATACGTTTGGCTGATTTTGGATCATGCTTAAAAGTGGGTTCCAACGGTTTTGTTGAAAGTAATGTTGCTGTTGGTACACCAGATTATATATCTCCTGAAATATTGCAAGCTATTGAAGACGGACAAGGTTGTTACGGACGAGAATGTGATTGGTGGTCATTGGGAGTGTGTATGTACGAAATGATTTATGGGGAAACACCATTTTATGCTGAATCTCTCGTACATACTTATGCTAAAATAATGAATCACAAGGTAATTAATATTCAATTATTAAAGATTTAATCTTTATTCTATAAACAGTGCTGTAGAGCAGTTAATGAACAACAATATTTTGTATTATCATTGAATATATATATTGTATAGAGAAACAATGTACTATAAAAATGTCCTACTCTCCTGGAAGGCGAATAATAGATGGCCCATGGAAAAATTTGTCGCGGAGGCAAAAACAGTGTAGTAGTTCTACCTTTTAATAAATATTGTACACAATCGCCAGTGTCAAATTAATCATTATAATTACCTTTATTCTAGAATGTGTAACATAGCAGTAAAATTAATTATTATATTATTATTATTATGTCATATAATAAAATAGTAATAATATAATATACATTAATTTCACATATTAAAAAATAAAATAATATTGTTAGTGACTGATGGCTCACTATGTCAACAAACTAATATTGAGCGTAGCATAAAATATCAAACATTGTTTCTCTATATAATATAATATCCTCAATGATAATATTCAAATTATTCAGTTGATGAATACACAAAAAAATAAGCTTGTTTGCCCAAAGTTGTTTTTTTTTTTTTTTTTATCACAATTTACTTCTACTGCACAATTGAATTACTTATATTATCTTAATATTTGATAAAATTATTTTTTTTATTGTTCTTAACATTTATATTTGAGTAATTATAATTTTTGTTCAATCCATATTCTAGAATTGCTTTGATTTCCCAAATGACCAAGAAGTACAAGTTTCTGAAGAAGCAAAAGATTTGATGAAAAAACTTATTTGTAGTGCTGAACAAAGACTAGGTCAAACTGGCATAAATGACTTCAAAGTAAGTTAAAATATAATACTCTTAATGGTTATATTTTTAATTTTTAATTACATTTTCCAGGAACATAATTGGTTTATCGGTGTAGATTGGGACACTATTAGAGATAGTGTAGCACCGTATATTCCTGAAGTATCTAGCCCAACTGATACCAGCCATTTTGATGTGGAAGAAATTGATATTAAAACTGATATTTTTCCTCCTACTCCTTCAAATCCTATATTTTCTGCTCTACATTTACCTTTTATTGGTTTCAGTTTTACTCAAAATAGTTTTGTATCAGATCTTGGATCTATTGGAAAGTCTCTTTCATCGGGAAAAACGACTAAAAGAATGCGATCTCAAGAAGGAACAAGTGAAGTAGAAGGTTAGAATAACATACATTTTATTTTTTTACTAATTTTACTTTTGATACATAATGGTTCATCAAGATTTTTTTCTATTAAATAGTATTATTGAAGACTATACTACAGTACTGAACATTATGAATTATTGTTATACTTGATAACAGTTTTTAGTAATAAGTTCTATTGCTTTAGAAATACAATAATTAAATAATATATTTCATTAAGGCACTGATTAGAATAAATTTACTGCCGTATAAAATGTCAGCGTTAAGCTGCATAACAGTAAACAGCTGTACTTTTCCACTGTGGTAGTGTCTAGCAGTTTCTGATTTTATGTCTGTAGTAGGAATCTAGATAACACTACATCATGATTAGATAACCTTGTATGATACACATTAATATATTTTAGGCGAATCCATACAAAATCTATAACAATTATAAACTAACATAATATCAAATAGAACATAATATTAAATCATAAATATGTATGATCTCTATTTGTTATATTTTAATTTTTAATTTTTAATGTACTTTTAAAAAATAATATAGAAGAGTTTAAATGAGTAAATAATTTATCTAAAATAATATAAAAATTAGAATGTGAAATTTTAAAATTGTGGTCCAGATTGTGGAAACGAATTAGTGTATTATTTGTTTTAATTACAAGTTTGTTTCATAAAGAGAATAAACAAAATTCATTAATATAATATAAATAATATTATAAATTAATTTATGTTTAGATTCAGAAGATCAATTAAAAAAATATAAAGAAAACAAAAAAACTCACAACGCTTCTTTTGGCGATGAAAAAGAATTGGATATTATAATAAAAAAGTTTCAACAGGAAAAAGAAGAACTCCAAAAGGTAAGTAAAATTATCAATTTCATAGATTTAGTTATAATTATATTATATTTTTATTATTTGTTAGATAATCAATGTAAAACTATAAACTATTTTATTTAAATTTAAAATGTGGGATACAAGATTTTGGTTATAGATGTAGTTAAAAGTGTAATATTATTTTCATTCTTTTTTAATTATTTACTGTAACATAGTTAATGTTTTTTTTTTTAGGAAAAACAAGAAACACAAGAGAAATTAAAAGCTCAAGAAATAGAATTAATGGACGCCATGGGACAAAAAAACAATGCAATGACTGAATATGGTCATGTAACTAATAAGTATGTTTATTATATTAATTCTGCTAATCACGAAGAATATTGTTTTCTGGTGGTAGTAGTTTTAAATTGTTTTAATTTTTCAGGTTATCTGAACTTAGGCAACACAAACAAAAACTGTCAAGACTTGTTAGAGACAAAGAGGAAGAATTAGAAGAAGCCATGTCCAAAATAGACATATTACGTCAAGAAGTTCGTCGATCAGAAAAAGTTCGTAGAGAGCTAGAGAGTCGATTAGAAGAATCTGTAGCAGAAGTCATTAATGAACGTAAACTGCGTGAAAAAAATGAAGAAATGTATCATCAAGTAAATAAATTATATTTATATTTGAATATTGATTAATTTGCTGATAAATTAATTGGTAAAAATATTATTTTTAGTATAAGCTTGAAATTGAAAGATCGAATCCACCATCATTTGCTGGTAATAATTTTGAAACTAATGAAAACGCCAATCAAAGAGCAATGCAAGAAATAATTAGGTATGTAGCAACTAAAAAAAAAAATGTATAGTTTAATTTGTATAGAATGTGAACATAAAATATTTTTTTATTTATTAGAAAACTAAACAAAATATTTTAGATTCAAAACTGTTTAAGTTACCAATGATATATATGTTAAGGGTAATATTAACATTTTTTTAATGTTGACATTATCCCGCTAATGTTAACATTAACCAGTAATATTACATTAGTCAAGAACTTTTGGATAATGCCTGAACAATCATAAAAATGTACCATACATGAGATGCAATAGTTTAAATTATTAACAATATTAATTATCAGGGCTTGTGACTTCATGCACTAAAAAATGCATAAATAAGCATGCATTCATGCACTAAAATTTGTCAAAATATGCATTAAAATATGCACTAAAAAGTTCAAAAATATGCATTAAATGCCTTAACATTTTTAAATTATACACTCAAAATATGTATTATGTAAAAAAATGATGAGCAAATTTTAAAATAATAAGAATAAAATCCATAAAATCTAAATAATTATGTACTAGGAGTTCCGAATTAGGACACTAGGTAGTTACTAGTTACACACTCACACTAGAATACAAATAAATCAAAACACTATAATTTTGTAAACGTGAAAGTAAATAAGAAACAAGAAACTTTTCAAATATTTGTCTTAAAAATATTTTCATGAAATAATATGCACTAACGACTGTAAAATATCGATTATATGCCAAATATGCCTTTACACCCATAACATGCAAAAGCATGCACTATCAAACTTCATATTATTATTACTATTATTATGAAACGGATTTGTATCTCAGTTAGCATGTTTTCCTGTGTAGCAAAGAAAACATGCAGATGCATGAACTTACGAGTCCTGTTAATTATATTTAAGACAACAACCATAAAATACATAATATTAATAATATGAGTTTAATTTTAATTTTTAACAACCCAACCTACTAATGGCACATAACATGTTTATTATGATATGACATTCCGTGACATTTTGAATTGCACAAAATGCTAGATGATTTACATTTACATAAATTGGTGTCACATTTCCCCTTACATAAACACCTTTTATATCCTTGACCACCACCATCTAACATTTGACAAATTCTAACCCATTGTCAAATTGTAAAATAACCGGTGCTCCAAAAATATGAAATATATCCAAAATGTTGGTCGCCACTTCTTCAGCCGTTTTTGACTTTTAAGCCTGCAACTGAACAAATTTTGTTAAATGATCTTGGTAAACCATAATAAAGCGAAATTCTCCATCGGCTTGCGATTGCATGTTGATCAAGTCAACCTGATAACAACTATTCATTTCTGAATAATCGGTTTAACAACAAAGCCTTTTCATTTAGATGACAATTTTCTTTGACAAGGTCCACAAAATTTTAAAAATATAAGTACAACTTTTTTAGTTAAATTTTTGTATTTTTTTTTTAATTCTGGCATCATTTGATGCTTACCACCATGACCAATATTGAGATGTATTTCATTTAGTATGTCATATAATACATAATTTTTTACCCAATATAGTAAATTAGTCCTAGCTTATTCGACGGTTGCTATAAGTTTCTCTTCTCCGATATTAATAATTTGAAATTTGTTCAAACGATGAGAATTATTGACGCCTTTCAATTCATTTATTATATTTAAATATTTTTCATTCGACATATAAGATGAATTATCTTCTCTTTTTCCAGACAACAGTTTTTCGAATAAATTATAAAATTCCGTTTTTGTTTAAATTCTATTTGAGTTCAATTAAAACACTGAACACTGTAGTTACTATAAAATACTGTAAATATCACTTGTGAAAACTGAAAACAGACTAGCAACAGATGGACGCTCGACGTCGTGTTTTGTACAACATTACAATTATAACAAAAATGTAGTACAATTAAGATAAATTTTAAGTCCATATATATTGTTCACTTTATCGGTAAAATAAATTACTGCTGCACTATATTATAGCAGGCATACCTACGATTAAGCTCGTAATTCAAATAATCTACAGATAGACGGATCTACAAGGATCTACAAGTGTAATCGATTAAATATAAAATTATTACACGTGTAGATTACACTCGGTCCCACTTGGTATAAAGAAATAGAATTCAGTTTTCACTTTTAACATTATCCATTGTTGACTGGCTAATGTCAACATTATCCGAATAATGTTAATATTCATTAATATAAACGAAAAATTACACATTAACCAAGACGCATGGCTAATGTCGACATTATCCAAATGTTAACATTACCCGTAACAAATATAATTTTTAATAAAATTACTTGAAATTATTATTGAAGATTTCATTTTTTGGTATGCTAATTAGTGGATATACCTATTACCTAAAGAATCTCATGTTTAAAAAATGAAAACAATTATTTTAGTAAATAAACAATTATAGATTTTAAGAATCAGTAATTTATTGACCTATTAAATTTGTTGTGATTGTAAGTAAAATGTATTAAATAGTTGAACTGGATTTAACATTTTATTCTTTCCTTACTGTCAGTTAAGATGGATTACATTAAAAAATATGTATTTACTTAATGAATGGTACATTTTCATAAATCTTTTTTTTTTTTTTTTTGAGCTTGTGCCTGGCAACTTAGGCCATTAGCTATTTTTTGTTTTTATTTGTAGGTTTTTGTTGGTAGGGGGAGGACCCCTGTGTGTTTGTTTTGGCAGAATTTTTGATTTGGACACCCTTTTCGTAAATCTATTCTGTATTTAAAATATATCAAGTTCTGTTTCAATGTTAGTCTATAATAATGGAATTTTTTTATTCATGCATAAAACAATTTATAGTCAAATGATATGTCAACCAATATTCAGATCTAAAATTTTTAAAATTGCATCATTCGTATATGGTTTTTAAAACGAGTTGATAATTGGTTTTATAATATGATTTTTGATAATTTTGCGAATTGTACAAGAATTAGATTTAAGTTCAGTAGCTTATGAACTTTTAGATTCTGAACGAAGAGATAAATGTTTGGGTTTTAAAATGATGTGGGTTTTTTGTCTAAAGTCACCTTAAATAACAGTTTAAAGTTTCAATTTTCTACTTTAAGGGCGGCTTTTGGTTGCACTCTAGCATATTATATATAACTGATACTTTGGTGGGTAAAATAATCGAGAATAACAAAAAAAAAGTACTGAAAAACTAATATGCTACACAAGTTTTCAATAAAATTTATTTTGTTTATTTCAGTAAAATAATTAATAATTGAGATACTTAAATTTGATACCAAATATCTATATTAGCGCTGTCTATACATAACATTCTTTTTACGTTAACAGCTAAGGCTTGTACATTTAGTCCGAAATTCCTTATATTTTACTGAAAATTTAAAAAAGTTCACCCGAAAGCTACATCAATTTTTATGGATGGTTAAAGTATAACTTAATTGAAGTTAAATATTTAAACGTATTATGTCGATTACTCCTCAAACTATTTTTTTAATTTTATTGCAATTTAAATGCTATTAATTGTAGAAACTTGAAACATGCCATCATTATAAGTAATAACTATAGATTTCTATGCAAAATTAAATTTTAAAAATATTCGTAATATTGTTTAAACTATGAACCTATTTACACCATTATAGGGTATTGACTTAAAAAATATAAGTTAATATTATAATATAAACAGTAATTTAATTCAGCCGATTTTTTTGGCATAAATTAGGTTAACCTGTTGTATTACTTAATAAAATATTATTAGTAGTATTAATAGTAATGTTAATGAATTATAAAATATTCTTAGAACTAGATGCTGACGCGATGTATCCCCGCTTAGAATTGTTTTACATATTAAATTATTTATCATTGAATCCAAATTGAACACATCCATTACTGTGACGTACATTCGCAATGACAAAGTGCACTAAAAACCCTACTATACAAAAGAATAACTACCTTTTGTTAAAAAATACAAAAAAACAATTTAGTTCCCAAACATAATAATACTAATGTTGGTTTAAAATGTATATGAACATAAAAATCTCCTGCTATGATAAAAATTTTATTCATTATTTAAGGTTTTTTTTAACCTACATTATGGTTTATGGTTCTAGAAAAAAAATCATGTTAATATTATTATACTATATTTTACTATAATAATTGTTGATTTACTTATATTGGTTGATAAAAATAGTTTTACTATCTTATGACACATTTATAATATTTTTACAATATTAACTTATTTATAAATATTTTGATTTTACAAAACTTTCAACAAATTAATTGTTTGATCTATAAATTAACAATTATAAAATTACATATTTAGATTGAAAGGAGAGATTGAACGGTTAGAAGTAGAATATAATGAAAATATCAGCAAGGAGCAAGCAAAATATAATTTGGATACAAACAAATTGAAAGATCAAATATTTGAAAATGAAGTTATTCAAAAATCTTTAGAAAAAGAAGTATGTTTTTTTTAAACTGTTATTTATACTCACACTATTAATATTATAAACACAAACGTAAAATTTAATTAAATTTAGTATGTTACAATTATTATTACAATGATTTATATTATAAACTGTTTATCTATTGTAATATAATTAAATACCTTAATATATTGAGTTAGAAAAACTAATATTTATGTTATTTAAATTTTGTTTAATGTAAAATAAAAAATTTCAGAAAAAAGAGAGTAATGAAATAATCCGTACAATTGAATTTGAACATAAAAGATTGAAAGATGAATTACATGTTAAAAAACAGACTATTAATCAATTGGAATCTCAAATATCAGACATAATTCAATGGTAAACAATTAAATATATAATAAAATATATTCACTATATTTTATTATATTAATTATATTTTTTAGGATTAGTGACGAAAAAGATGCTAGAGGATATTTGCAAGTTTTGGCAGCAAAAATGAAAGAAGAATTAGAGTATTTAAAACAGTGTCCAAATAATAATGGTCAATCAGCTTTAGTAAGAATATTTATATATTACAATTTGATTTAATTATTTACTTAATTTAAATAAAGTGCACCTATAGTACAAAAATATCTGGACTTAATGATATTATTTTGATTATTTTGACAATACCAATATTGTCATTACATTAATTAACTTCTAATCATTATTTCTATATAAACATTACCTCTATTTTTTTTTTATATAACTGTTGAGCAGACATTTTTTTAATAGATAGTTCTAAAAATCAAAATCCTATTTTTTTGCATAATTTAAGTATAATGAATATTAAATTCCATGATCCATTCTTGTTTAGTTAATAATTACAATACTTTTATCAGTTATCTATTATTTTATATAGTTACATTAAAATCAACAATAGTTAATTAGATATCTTTGTTATTAAAAAACTTAATGGTTTTATAGGACAATAGTTGGAGAAATAGAAGAAGCCAAAAACTCGATAAAATGGAACTTTTAAATCTTCAAAGTTCATTGCAGTCAGAAATTCAAGCTAAGCAATCGATAGGGGAAGAGTTAAGCAAGACTCGTTCAGAATTGATTGCAATGCAAAAGTATGATTTATCTCTTATTATACAAATCTAATTTTGTGTGATGGACACAATATGTCATATAAAATTACTTAAAAACAAAAAGTGGTTTTACATTGTAATACATTTAATATTTAAATTAAGATGCTATTAAAAAATATTTTAACACATTCAATGCTGGTGACACGTATGCTTGTCATTGGTAGTTGTATGTGTAACGTCGGTGACGTGTTTACGCGTCTTGTCAAATTTTACAAAGGAGCCACGTGTAAAATGCAAGATAATAGATAGTGTAAACTGAGTAGCGTCAAAACACCAAGTTAAATTCATATTAATATCATATATTATAATTCATACCAACTTTTTTTTTCTTTATGTTTCCTGCTTATAGCCACCTCAAATTTCAGATATTTACAATTAAAGCTACAATAATTAAATGACCCATAAATATATAAGAAATTGACGTGTAAACGGGTCAGTGGCTAAATGCTAAAATCTAGTTACGGGGTTGAAAGTGTTAACAAGCAAATCACATTGTCTAAGACATTCTAAATAAAAATTCAATATCTACTAATTTTAAATAAATTAACACGCTTGCCTATCAATAACAAACATATTCATAATTTTTCAGAGAATTAAGAGATTTTCATCAGAGGTATGAATCTTTGGTATATAATATGAAAGATAAAGATGACATGATAAAGGAATTACAAAATCAGCTAGACGCCAGACAATCCTGTAAGATAAAATATTTTGATAATATTCTATTATAGTGTTTTTCATAGTGTAGTATCCCAGCATAGTTAATATTTACGCTTTAATTTTATCCCAATAAATATTATTTTGTAGGTTTGTGTTCATTATGTCATATAGTTAAAGATTACCTGAGATCTACCTAGATTTTCTGTTATGCTATACTATTATTTAAATTTTATTTTAGGCTCTTATACTACGCTAAGAATATTGTATGCTTTCTCTTTTCCAGATAAAATATTTAACCAATTTACTAAGAAAAGCTCACAATAATATGATTTAATGTTTATTTATTTTAGTTTTAAGTATAAAAATATTTAAGTTAAAATCTGTTGTAAAAAGAAATGAAACATCAGATAGTGTAAAACTGAAAGGCAATAGTTGTGTGGTGGGCTTTAAGTTAAAGCTAGTTGGCGTACATTTTAAAATTTCCCATTTAAAACTCTGAAGTGTGAACACAAAATACTATAGAATTAACCACTTGTTTATGCAACAAAATAGTATGTTTTATACCTATATGTTATTTTACAATTGCCTGAAATTATTTGCTCAGCTGTATATCATTCAAATTTACAAACATAATACTTACGTGCCACTTATAATTACATTTTTGTAAGATAAAATATGTTGATGCACACAATTATGAGTTGTGTTACCTATGTGGAAAGCACTCCAAAATGTATTTACTCGCATCCATAATCTTTAACTTATTATTGAAATTCATGTCGTCAAATTAAAATGTTTTTCCTCAACAAAAAGTCGTATGTTGTGCTTGTACATTTATTTATCTCAATCTGGGTTTCATTGAATATAAAGTAGTAGTTCATTATTACGAGTATAAAAATAAAAATTCCTAGGTAGGTAAATGTCACCAATATTTTTTTAGTTTGTCACCAAAAGAAATTGAGATAAAATATCAGTGGTGTAGCCATATAGTGGTTGGGCAGTGGGCTAGGCCCCCTTTCCCCCCAATAGGCCATATCAAAACATTGAAACAACATAAAAATAAATTATTATTGTTAATTGTTGAATATTTTAGTTTTTACCAAAGCGGAGATGAATACATGCGAGTGTGACGTCCTCTTAAATTAATGTTATACACATAATGTAGTGACTTTTATTATTTAATTAATAATATTTTCATTAAATTATTATATTAGTGAGAAACTAGTTAGTAGTCACTAATCACATTTTACACCATATATTTTGTGTTTGATTATAATATCTACTACTGCATTACTTCTCAAATTAATTTTACTATTAAAAAATATTGAATTATTACATCACTGAACCTAAATATTGGCTTTTTGTGCCTTCAGATTAAAAAGAAATTTTTAAAATATTTTACGCAATAAAATATTTTATGAACACTTATAGTTCTCCCAATTCATCATCCATAATTTATTATAATTATATTAATATTTAGGTTAAAAATTCTGTTAAAGGTTTTTTAAAATATGATATCAATCAATAAATATTTGTATATAATCATAGACATATAAAATAACTAGATAGCGAACTGCATATTACATTCCCGTGGGGACGTTGAAGTTGTGAGGCCATTATCAACAAGGCATTGTTTACAAAATATCTCAATAGATAAGACACCTATACTGATATATTTTATATGTCTATGTTGTTATCAATTTATCATTATAAATAAAGCAAACAATTTTGTAAATACCCAGGTAGCATATGGCTGCCAAATTCAATATCATCATGTATTCAGCTAACTAGTTATTTTATATATCTATGTATATAATGCAGTAGCTATTGAATAAATAGTTAACTGTTATTGTTTAGTTTGATAGATGATTAAAGTGGTATTAAAGGAATTTTATTATCTAATCTAACTAGTTTGAATGTCCTTCTCTGTTACCATTTTAGCAAATGTAATCGAGTATTGTGAGGGGTTGCATAGTTTATGCATCTAGTATTCTAGTGTATTAGGGTGGATCCTCAACCTTTCCACAAATAGATCACGCTCACGGGTCAACGTAATACTTTACACTTCTGTCGCGTTATTGAATCATGATTTAGGAATATAGATAGTATGTTTATGGACAATTATTGGTCTCCAATCTACTGTACAAAGTGTCCCCTTACACAACATCAACAGAAAAAGGCAATCATTTTTAGCTCATTGAACTATTCTACTTGAAAATATAGTACTCATAGTTAAGTATTTAGTATTATTTATAAATGATAAAACATTATATATATATAGTTAAAGGTGGTTAACATTTTAATTTATTGATACTTTGGTCATAGGCTTATTATATTAATAATAATTTTTAACGTTTATAACTGCATTGAGTTATATTTGATATATCTATGCAGTAACAATTATAACTATAACCATTAAAATAATTTGTTTTATTTAATTAGGCAAGTTGCCTTTGTTTATTGGAATATCGAGTTGTGTTTGGGGGCTCGTGATTATCTTGTTTCAATACTATTTCTGACTAGAACTTCTTTTCTCAATAGGTTTGTAATGATTAGATTAATGTGTGAAATCATCTTGCTGTTAACCTTAACCTAACTGTTTTATTAACACTACTAGAAGTTTGAAGGAGGTAACCTAATTATTTATTGAGACATTCTTGTTTATGTTTAATTTATGTAATATTTTAAATTAAGTTATTATTGCTGGAATTGTGTATAATATGTGTTAAGTTGTAGTGTGATTACTGATAAGATGCAGTGTAGTGTGTATACATTTTATGTAAGTACCTACCTAATCACCGTTTGATGAAATAGTAGTTAAAATAAAACAATAAATAAATTAGATGTTAATAAAAGTAAATATAGATTGATTAATTTTTATATTTATCTAATGTACATGTAATAGCATAACTTCTCCGTTATATAGTTTAATTTATGTAAGAGTTCTCTATAAATAAATTTATTAAATAAAATTAACCGTTTAAAAAAATTTAACTTTATTATAAGTACATACATATCTATATTTTTAATAATTTGTCAATAAATACAATATCCTAAAGTTTTTTAATATCAAAACACAAGTTTCTAATTAAAACATTTAATTTAAAAAAAATGTGTATGTTCAACCTTTAAACTAAAATATTTGAAAATTTGTTATAGAATTTTATATCCATATATAATTCAATTCACATTAAATACTATATTATCCTTATAGAGCTCTAAAATAATTGTATGTTTAAGTTTTTAGTTACTGTGTTAATTAAATATGTTTTAATTTTTACTAAATCTAGTTTATAATTGCAATGTTGGTATTTATTATTTTTAGTGTTATAATTACTTTTTTTACAGTTTTAGGTCAATCGTCATGTTCACCGCTATCCTATTTAGATCACTTTTTAAATGAATCTGCAACTGGAAATAGTAATAAATCTAATTTAAATGATAGTATTGATAGTTATGACAGAAGTTTTGATGATAATAAAGCACTGTCAATTAGAAAGTCTAGTTTTTCAGATTTCAATAACACAGTCAGTGGCTTTTATTATTATTTAATATTTATATTTCTTATGTTTTTTATTGTTTAATATTTTTATTTTAGAATCCAAACAGTTTAATTTCTGAAAAAGGAAAATGTCATCAGTTTATTGTTCGAACTTTTTCTTCTCCAACCAAATGTAATCATTGCACATCATTGATGGTTGGCCTTGTTCGCCAAGGTGTAATATGTGAAGTGTGTGGATTTGTGTGCCACACAATTTGCTCAGACAAAGTGCCATTGCTTTGTCCGGTACCACCTGATCAAAGTATTTATCTACATTTTGATAACATTTATAAAAAAACTTATATTAAATATGCAATTATTATTTTAGCGAAACGACCATTAGGAATAGATCCCACACGTGGTATAGGTACTGCTTATGAAGGTTATGTCAAAGTGCCAAGATCTGGTGGTGTTAAAAAAGGATGGGTGAGACAATTTGTGGTAGTATGTGATTTCAAACTATTCCTGTATGACATTTCACAAGATCGAAATGCCTTACCTGCAGTAACTGTATCTCAAGTGTTAGATATGCGTGATCCGGAATTTGCTGTTTCTTCAGTTAGAGAATCTGATGTTATTCATGCGGGGAAAAAAGATATCCCTTGTATCTTTCGTGTATGTGTTTCGTCAGTCTTTGAATTGTTTATAAATCCATTGTTTCATTTTTAATTTGTTAAATTTTCTAGATAACTACTTCGCTTTTAGACCCACCTGGAGTCAAAAATCAAACATTAATGTTAGCTGACACAGAAAGTGAAAAAAATAAGTGGATCGTCGCTCTTAGTGAATTGCATAGAATATTGAAAAGGAATAATTTACCCAATACGACGGTAGTAAGAGTTCAAATAATATTGCTTTAGTTTAAGTTTTTATCTAAAATATTTATTGTTCTTATTTATTTAGATATTTAAAGCAAAAGAACTCGTGGATAATACAATTTCAATAACCAAAAATGCCATGGCTAGTGCTATAATTGATCCCGATCGCTTAGTAATAGGAACAGAAGATGGTTTGTACTGTATAGATTTGGATCAATTAGGTGTGTATTGTTTTATAAATATAAATTTATTTTGCTTTACGACTTAAAATTTTACAATTTTACATAATTTCTGTTAATTCTACACTAGAAATCGCAAAAATTGGAGAAGCAAAGAAAATTTTTCAAATAGATTATATACCAGAGGAACAGCTTATTGTTGTGTTATCTGGTAAACAAAGGCAAGTTCGTTTAATCCCTGTGCGTGCTTTAGATGGAGATGATGTTGAATGGGTGAAAGTAGTTGAAAGTAAAGGTTGTATCACATTCTGCACAGGATTGATGAAGAAATATCCTGGCATGACAAATCTTCAGTATTGTTTATGTATAGCTGTAAAACGTCAGGTAAACTGAAGAAATTCTTAAGAGGACGCTATACCCGCATGCCTTGACTCCGTCTTTCTAACATACCATAGCTAACTATATGTTAAGAATCCATTTTACTCTGTTATTTTTAATATTAGAGTGAATTGAACTATTATCAAATTATAAGGTTAAAATATTTTCTAGGCATCTTGTAAGTTTTTTATATTTTAATTTTCAAGCAAGTTATAAGTAATTTAAAGTTTAAAATATTATTATTTAATGTATCTTATCTTGAATAATATTTCTCATATATATAAAAATGATTGTGCGTTTCGTAGTAATCGGTTATTTCAGAACCACAAAAGTATAATATGTTAGTGCTCCTATTGGTTTTTTTATGTTGGGACCTTCGTCCGATTATGTGATATATTTTGGCACACGGATCAAATCTGTTGGTTTCCAAAAATGAAATATTTTTTTTTATATTTAGGATTGGTATTAGTTACAGAAAATTATATAGTTATTATGGCAACCAGAAATATATACCGTGTGTCCGCGAAAACAGGGTACACTTAACCACTCATTACCCTGTACATATTTTTCAATTTTGTTTTCGGGACATTAAATTAGACTATTGGATCTTTAATTTCGATTACTTACAGTTTTTTTTAACTCATGTATCTTGCGCATGCGCAATAAAACTTACATTTTTTTAAATGACAACCTGTAATTTGAATATCATATTCGGGTTCATCGATTTTTTGCAAGCCATTTTGATGTATCAACTTGTGTCCTAAACCCAAAATTGACTAACTAGAGCTAAGTAGAATTTAAAAATTTAAAAAATTCAATTTAATTAATTTTTTTTTTTAATTGTACGTACTTATTTTTTTCTTCTAAACAAAATGAAACAAACAATCAAAATTATTATTATTAAACTAATTAACTATTTACTATTTATGAATTATTATCTTGTTTTCCAAGTTATTATATCCTAAGTAACTCACCACCAATCAAACCAACATATACATTTGTTTCGGTAGACCAATTTTTGCATTTTTTGATACTTGAGAGTTAAATTATACACTTACGTACTCACCACGTGGTGTCCGCGATCTACCTGATAATATACTGCACAATAATAGTCGCAAAAACCCTAGCTTTAGCAACGCATTTCTGTGTCAGCTAGTAACTTATAAATCATAAACTAGACTTTTATGTTATCTATGTATATAAAAGATAATGTACATTACATATAATACTCCACAAATGTTGAGAACAATTTTAGAGATATCAGGAAAGTTTAGAGAGTTCGAACCATGTTCAGAAATATACCAAGTGTTATTATTCAATTCATTACCGATCTCAAATTAATTATTTCACAATTGGAGGTAAACCGACACTAATATTCCCATGAACTGCTGAGGTACACTAAAAGTGATATATATTATTGCGCTGTATTTTATATTTGTTAATTTTTCCTTGGTGAAGTCTGGTTATACAGTTAGTATATTAATTATTATTTATTTTTCAATATTATTTAATTATAATGAAATATTTTTTATAATTTTAAAATGCTCACAGCTTATTTTAAAATTAAAATGTAAAAAAATGCTCACAAGATGCGCCTGATAATATTATTAGCTTTCAATTTAACAATAAGGATGCAGTAAAATTTGCTTTGTTAAGTGTAAGTAAGACTGAGTCAACTAACTATGTGAGTATAACGTCCTCTTACTTATGTTAAAATAAATTAAAATCTATTAATTTACATTGTAGAATACTTCTCAGGTGATTATTTATGAGGTAACTAGGACTAAACTGAGGCATAGGCGACTCAGAGAAATAATGCTACCATCTCAAGCACAAAGTTTAACTGTATTTACTGATGGACGGTTATGTGTCGGCTACCATTCTGGCTTCAGTGTATACCATATAACTGGAGATCATCATCCAATCTGTAATATTAATTTTTTCTGCTTTAGTAAATATATTCATACATGGAATAATGTTATTTGGTTTCACAGCTTTGGTACACCCCGATAATCACATGATGGGTTTCTTATCATACTCTGCAATGGATGCTATAAAAGCAATTGAACTTCCTAGGGGAGAATTTCTACTCATCTTCCAATCTTTAGGTATTTTTGTAGATTCTCAAGGTCGGAAATCAAGAGACAGAGAAATCATGTATCCTAGTGATCTTATTGATGCTAGTAAGCTGTGTTTTTTTTTTGCACCATAATTAATATAATATAATGTATACTATATACTTAACTTGTTTTTGAATTTCTATAGGTTATTGTGATGGTCATTTATTGATATATAGTGAAACCCATATAAATATATTTAATGCTGATAGCGGTGATTGGATTCAGACTTTGAACTTAAGAAATTCCCATCCTATTAATAATACTGGTTCATTAACTGTGTGTTATATTGATGATTTACCATGTATAATATACTTGTCTAATGTACACCAAAGTATGCAAAAAAAAAATACAAGTAATCTTTTTCTAGTTTGTAAAATTAATTATTATTATTATTATCATAGGAGAACTAATCAATATCAGATGGAGAGATATATCTGGTAGTATGTCAATCCCACGTACCAGAAGAAGGTTTTCAATGCGTGAAGGCCAAAAAGCAATTCGAGGACCTGATCGTAGGTCCAAAATAATATCAGCTCCTACTAATTTTAACCATATAAGTCATATGGGACCAGGAGATGGTATACAAATTCAAAGATTGCTGGATTTACCAACAACAGTTGAAACAGCAGATTCTATGCCTCCAACTAAAGTAATAGTTACATAATATTTATCAATAATAATTTCAATGGTATAAAACTATATATTTACTTCTAGCCTCTTCAACCATTTACTTCAACAACCAGTAAGCATTCATTTCAAATTTCAAGAAGTCCGTCGCAGCAACATTCCACATTAAGTGGTAATTATTTTTTTAAATGTATAAACTTAATGAGCAATTGTTAATGAAGGTTTTGATATCCAATAAGTAAAAATTGCAAGGGATTTCAATAATAATTTACTATTAAATTAAAAATAATATTAAATGTAAATAAATAAAATAATACAAAATATTGAAATAATTATACATTTGTATTAAAGAACGTTGGTCAAGTTTATTAGAATAATATGTATTGATCATATTATAATACATTTAATTTTGCCATTTATCTATAAAAATAATTCAAAATGAAGAGTTTTTAAATTTGTATAAAACTGTTAAACATAAAATCTAAATAACCAAACTTTTGTTTAGTAATAAAAATTACAGAACATTTTGTATTATAATCATCAACAAAGTATAAAATGAATTTAATAAACAATATAATTGTATTTATTACGATTAAAATATTGTAATTTAGACAAGTTCAAAATGGCAAGAGCAAAATATGGGATTGACATGTCTCGTCAGTCGCCTGAAGAAAGTAAAAATTTAATATTACGGTCAGATATTAATAAAACTATTTATCATCCAATTGTTGGTAAGCTTGGCATGATTTACTATGTAGTTGTATGGACTATTGTAACATTTAATAGTATGTGTAGCAAACATTATGAATCTAACTAACCATGAATTAAGATTTTTAACAATTTATGTTAATATTAGATTTTAATTAAATTGTTGTAAAATTAATCATAAATATTGTTTTTAATTGTTTCTGATTTGAATAAAATATATAATTTAAGTTAATAGCAGTATAGTATAACCAATAAAAATTAAATTAAAAATAATCCATAAGCCACAATGAATATAAGTAATATTATAAAATAACAATATAATTATTTTAAAGTAATCTACATATTATTAACTACTTATTAAAGAATTCTTAAATTATTCACAATATACTTATTTCAATGAACTAAACTGAAATATTTTGTTTTAATGCACGTGTTAAATAAAAATAAAGTTAATTATTCTAAAAAAAATATAGTAATCTTTTGTTTTATATTTTATTTTAGGATCAACTGCAAAAAGATCATACATTAAAAAGAAAACAATACTCCCACCAAGAACACCAGAATCTTTTGGTTCTAATTATTCACATCATCATTCAGATACAGATCTACCACCAAATATGTCTCATTCGTTAAATCGCAGCATATCATCTTTAAATGAATATAAAGTAAGTGGTCATGATAATCATACATTATTATTATTACATAGTTATAACTAACATTTTTAATAGGATCATCAGATTGGTAGCTCAAGGCATTCTGTAGCTTCAAACAACAGTAGTAATACCAGCACTCCACCGAGTCCAAATCGTGAGCATGGATCATCTAGTTATGATAGTTAAATGTATAATACATGTTTTTTTATCATTATTATAGGTTAAACTATTATAGGTATAATGTGTTATTTAATAATACTTTAGTGTACTAACACGTAAATAAAACTGTTGATGGATATCAAAAATCACTAATAATAGAATGATTAATATTTTAAAATTATTAACTTGCAAAAATGTATGATGAAGTAACATTTAAGGATCTCTTTTTTCTTTCTATTTCTAGTTTGCATTTTTTGAATTTAATGAATTACTTAAAAAGAAAAATAATATTAATATCTATTTATTTTATTTACGTATATAATCCAAATATTCATATTAAAAAAAGTTAGGACTTTTTATTGTATGCCATAATACAACAAATATTTTTTATGAGACAATAATATCAAGTTTTAAATTTACAAAATAATTTTGAACATAAATGAAAAATTTTCAAGTTCATTAAACATTCATAATTATAATTCTTGATTGTTCTTTGGAATTAATAAGAGTCCAATTTAGATTCTTTAAGAATAAGCAAATAACATTTCACTATGTTCTATATACTATTAAACAATTCTGGTCATAAATTTATATTTCATTGATTTTGCATTTATTTTTCATCTATTTTTAGATGCTCATCTTAAATCTAGTCTTGAATTTTCTAGTTTCTAATCTTTTTTAAACTGTTATTTCTTTCATACTGTTAATTTTCATCAATAACACATTGATGGACATACACATTTTGTAGACTTTGTTCACCCTGTATAAAACTAGATAGTGCTATAGCAATATAGCATTAAACATTTTATAGAAATTTTTGTAATGATCCATGAATGTTACTTGTTTAGCATGTGTATTTTTTTATAAATTACATGATTAACATTAAGGTCTTTTGCTAGAATAGTGTACAATTTTTACATTTGTCCCCATTGACATAATTTTAATTTCTCAGTCCTATAAGCCTATTTGTCATTGAGTTGGTGATTTTAAATAATTTCAATATTTGCATAACAGCATTAAAATAGACATTTGTCATTTTGATGTTTAATATTTACAAATTTCATGAATAACTAAAATCCAGTAGAGTCAGTTCTTTGGGGGGTACAGAAATTGACCTAAAACTTAGCAAACGCTTGTGTAGTTATGATGCGCCCAATTATTATTTGAAGTAACTTAAGTTTCATTTTGTGTAACAATAATGATCACTTGATCAAAGTTTTATATATCTCCATCAATGTGTCATTTATACGTATGTTTTTACTCTATAATAAAAATCCCGGGCAGCAATTAAAAACTATTATATTTATTTTTAATTTCCATATTATTTTTAAAGTGTTATAATTTTCTCACTGCTGTGTGGGATACTTTTTAAATCTATTTAATTAAATAATATTTATGCTTATAATTAGGTTAGTAATTACAATTACATAGTATGTTAAATATTTAAATGACAAGTGTTCAATGTATGATTTGTTTATTATGTTGTTTCATAAATCAACATAGATAAAAAAGATTGATTCAATTCACTATTAATGTTTATAATTAATAATAAATAAATATATATATTTTTTTTTTAATTGACAACATTTATTGTTGTAAACGTAAATGCATTTAATGTTGAAACTATTAAAAGTTATATATTATAAGTACTATTTTATATATTTTCAATAGTGAAAATAATATATTTAACCTTCGTTATCTTTGTGGGTTCAAGAAATTTTGCGATTAATTTTATATAGATTTTTTTTCACTAATAACAAGTCAATTAATCGATAAATAATCAAATAATCCACGGTAATTATACAAAACAATAAAAAGTATTATTTTTCTTTTTATATTTTAATTTTAAAGTGAGTTATGAGTAGAGACCGGATTTATATGCTCTTAAAATCTTGAAAATAAGATGATTCTATGCTCTATAATTTCATCAAAATAATCTTTTATATGCAAAAATATTCTTTTATGAAAAAATATTCTTTTTCATAAAAATGTATTAAACACAAAAAAAAAATAAAAAATAAAAGTAAGTTATATTTAATCTATAGTATGGTGATATACTGCCATACTGGTGTACCTACCTATATTTAACTGTTGTAACACAAACTTATGAATTCAAAAAGTAAAAAATAATTGCATATAAAATAATAGAATAATATTATGTATTCAAACTCAAACTTAAATAATTTAGCCTTATGAATTCAAAAGATAATAATATTAAAAATAAAAAAATGATTGCATATAGTTCAACAACAGAATAATATTATGTATTAAAATAACTGAAACTTAAATAATTCAGTATTAATGCCTTATGAACTCAACAAAATAATAATAATTACAAGTTATAAAATATTCAAATTTGAACCCAATATGGCAATATATTCCTAAAACATGTTTTTTTACACAAAATATTCTTTAACCTTAAAATATTCTTTTTATGCTGTAAAAAATTTTGTATATCAGCTCATAGGTAAATGAATCGTCGAGAAAGTTTATCCAATTGGAGCTGCATACTCTCAAATCCGGTCTCTAGTTATGAGCAATTTTAGTTTTATAATTTTACATACTTGAAAATTAAAATATAAATAAAAAAATTATGAGAAAACACTAATAAAATTCTTACCTTTAAATTTATTAATAGGTAAATTAAAATTAACTACACAAAATGTATTCAGCTAAACTAAAATTTTGTATGTTGTATGTCTGTAAGACGGAGTTAAGTATCATGTCTTAAAATTATTAATACATTAATTGCTTATGAATGAAATCAAATTGAAATTAAATGATAGAATATCGGTATAACTTAAAGAACTTAATACTTTTATACTAATGATCCTTGAACACTTGTCATTACAATAATTGTGGCATTTGTTGTAAAAATCGTCATTTTGCTCATTTCTATTTGTTATTATCTATGTGTAAACCCAGTGAATGAACAAACAAATTTGTTTTTTTTTTTTTGTACAAATAACTCAATTAATTTTTATTTGTAATTAAATTAAGAATATTTGGAATGGTCAGGTATTAGTGTCTTTCTGATATTAATTTAGTTGGTTCATTTGTTTTATGTAATTTATTCAACTAAAAACTAAAGATAATTATTTTTTTTTATCTAATTTTAGAACATTATTTACTATAGTTTATTCTTAATTTTACAAAGCATTTTGTTTAATGTATCATAATGTTGATAAGTATTTCATTTTACATTTTATGTTAATTAAGTAAAACTAACAAGTTATAGTTGAATGCGGTTTTGTTCTTATGCCAAATAAATACTTATTAAATTACTATGTTATATTAATACATATTCAGAAAGACACTTTCTTTGATCATATTTTGTGTACAGGGTTACTTATTGAGTACATTATTAAGACAAACTAAGTACCTAACAGGAAGGAAATATTGTTGAAACTGTATGACACCATTTTAAAATTGAAGTTAACAAATACCTACTATTAATCTAGCTATAACTTTTTTAATATAAATTACAGTAAAACATTGATTTTCTCCAAACGGGAACCATTTATAGTAACTTGCCCAAATTTCTGAAACACAATTAACCAATGAAACAAATCTTCAACAATTTCATTATTTGAAATCATAAGGGATCATTGTATCCCAGTGGTTCTTAACCTGTGGTTCGTGGCTCCCTGGGTCTGTGGCAGCCTTATCACATAACATATGTCAATAAGTGACATGAGTGCATTAATTATTATTTTGTTTTTTTTTTTTCATATATAATATGTAAATTCTACACCAAATAATTGTATTATTATTATTTATTAAATAATCAGTTTTTCTTGTTCATACTAAATATACATATGTTCAGCACTGTAGTTTCTGACGGTTTTAGAAATTTACTGCCACAAATTGCAGTTGATCGATCTAACTCAATTATACTTAAAAAACTAAACTATAAAAAAATGAATTGTAATAAAAATAACTAGAAATGTGTACGTTTTGTTATGTCTACTTATGTAATTACTAATATAAAATAATTATTATAGTTTTGGTTATGATAAAATGAGATGTTTTGTAAAAAAAAAAGGTATTCGAAAAAAATTTGGTAAGGGGGTTTGTGATCCTTGATTTACAAAAGGTTAAGAACCGCTGGTGTATCCAGTATATTGCTGTATCAGTAGCGCCAAAGTGTTTAAAATATACTATGGCATTTTACATCAAGGGGCACCTCATCATTCCCACTTTTTTTAATTTAACAGTCAGATTCAATGAAAGCACCAACATAATGCAATGTTTAATCGTTTACTTTTATAATTTAACTTAAATTTTGGGTCCACAGAATGATCCTTTTTTTACCCTACCGTACCCCCTCCCCCATCTAAAAAATCTACTATGACATATATGTCATAGATAAATTAAGTGATCGACACCACTGCACAGTATCATGTTCATTGTTTAAAACATCTTGTAATTCAGACATCACTTGTTTGCATTCGTCCCAATTATCAATATTCTACTGCATCTTATTAGCAACTATATTATTTACAGTGCTCACAAATAGTTTAAATATAACATTACATGCATAATCTTAATTTTTAACTAAATAGGATTTGGATTATAATTAATTGTAATTTATATTTTTTTACCTTATGTAGTATTATATTCTGATTATTTTTGTCATTAATTTATTCATTATAAAGTTTATCCAACATATAACCAAATTTTATGGTATAGATAAAAACAATTATTAATTATAACATTTGTATAAGATATTTTAATTTCAGTCTTGACCTCAATATTTTAGTGCTTTTGTTCCACATTTTATTTTTTACTCTTAAACTTTAGAGTTTAACAAAAACATATTAAATAACAGAATTGTATGATAAACAAAAATAACAAAAAATAAAGTTATTTAATAAAAAAAACCAATAATTAATATCTAATGTTAAAGAATGTTGCATCATACATGTACAGTTCATACACCGTTTCAATTATATGGTCTTTATTAGTGATACAAATACATTTTATAATGAAATTTAGTATGTGCCCTTTACACACAGAACATTTTT